CAACAAATTTCGGTTGAAAAAAAGGCTGTGATGGTGCTTTGGTTTTTGAGAATGATAAAAGCTAGTAAACTTTAACTCAAAAATTACAGTTATCATTAACAAACCTTAAACCACAAGTAAATAAACTGTTAGTATTCAAAATAAGCAAGCAATATTTTATTTTAAAATTTTGAGCACAATTAAGTTTAAAAAGAAACTAGCATTTTTGTTTGAGAAAACTTAGCAAATTCCGTGCAGATTTTATACATATTATTTTTAGTAGCCATAAAGAGAATATGCTTGTTAAAAGATAAAGTTAAAAGTCAGTAAGTAGTGAGATAGACATTTAGATGAAAGCTGAAACTATAAACTTAATGTAAATTTTTTAATGCAAAAGTAAAGATGCATATTATAAATTATGGGCCTTTAACTTTCAAGGCATTTTTTGCCAACAACTATTTTCAGTTAAAAGCATTTTAAAATTTTATGACCAAAAATGATTAAAGCTTCTATAACTTTAATGGAAATATAACTTCTTTAATTTACTAATCTGTTAATGTAAAAACACTCAAGTCAAATTGTTGACTAAAAGTAGCATGCATACAAGCACTAATTAATTGACCTTCAACCTCTTAACTTTATCACTACACCATTTTTTGCTTATCAACTTTCAAAGATGCAATTACTTTACAAGCAGCTTTTCTAGATGAAAAAAAGTTTCAGCTTTTATCAATTAAAATATTGTACATCATTTTTCCCAAACAGTTACCTATTGGAAAAAGATTATATAACATCAAATAGTACCTTTATGAAAGTTAAAAAATACTTTTCCACAAGTTTTTGCAAACTTTACGCTTTGAAACCGGGCTAATTAGCATAGTATTTGTTTGTTTGTAAAATTCGTAAGTAAATTTTAGTCATTCGATTTTTGATACGTACTATTAATTGAATAAATGAAATAATTTTAACAGTTTAATCATTATTTATTAATATATTGCTACCATATATCAAGTCACTATTTACAAATAGTTATTAATAATGCTAATTTATTAATATCTCGAAACATATTCTCGTATTATTTATGATTATTGCAAATTATGTCATTAATTATTTTTGGTCGAATATTCGACTTATTAAGTAGCTTGAGATCAAAAGTCGGGCAAATAAAATTTTAAATTTGGTGGTGATTTAAAAAACAATATATTTTTACATCTATGAAATTAAGGTACCATAAGTAATATATAAATTGCCCAAATATTATGCATATAAATATATTTCTAGATCTATGAATTAAGTAAGGTACCATAACTAATATACAAAGGTGCCCAAATATTTTTAAAATACGAAAAACAATTTTATCTCTGCTTGTGTTGAAAATTTGCCTAAACAGTTAGTTATTATGAGAAATTCAAAGATTCAGAATGTAAAATGACATCAAAATTTTTAGCAGAAAAACTTAATTGCTACAGATGAGAAAAACTTTTTACCACATCTAACAACGCTAAAAATATTTTTTGAAAAGCACAAAACTTTGAAAAGCTCTCTGAACTATTTTGTAAGAACTGTGAAGAGGCATAGATTAGTTTCTAAACAATTTGTGTGATTCAAAAAAAATATTTCAACAATGCTTCTAAATTTTGTATTCAAAATATTTGCTTTAGAAATAAGAATTAATTCTTGCGCTAAAAAAGAATTGTTTGAATTAAAAAAATGCAGAAAGCATCATTTTTTCAATTTACTCAACCAATTTTTGACGTATTTTGTTGCTCTATTAGTATCCTTCTATTGATTCTGAGTATTCTTTTACATTACTTGCAATGAATTAATCCACATTCAAGAATTTGCACAAACTTTTTCTTCTAGCCAAACTTTCTTTTCGAAACTTCCATTTGAACAAAAAACTTCAAACTCATAAAATTTGCATATTCATCTTTATTTCTTATAATTCTCGAATTTCGATACATTACTAATACTAGCAATCCTTCAATAATCAAATGTTAATTAGTAAACTGTAACACATCAATTATTTTATTAATTTTTATCATAGAAAAGGTTTAAGACATTAAAGGAAATCATTATCATAACGATTAGCCACAGTCATGACTAGCATCTTTTCCAGTCAAGATTGATTATCACAATTAATCAAACAATAATCACACATATCGTATTTACTTTTACTACCTTAGTCTTTTTGACGGATTATTAGTTAGTTATTCTAAGAAGTAAAATTTTTATCAGTCAGCCGAAAAAATGTAAGTCAGAATAATGTACAACTATTAAATTCAATTTAATCAGCAACTGTTGATGGTTTCCTTAATAAATTAGCAGCTGTTGATGAATTAATTGCTTGTCGTAGTAATGTTATGAAAAATTAACATAAAATAGTCGAATTTCGGTCAAAGAATAAAGTTAAAAAATTAATTTATGCATTTAAAAAATTCCTAGGAATTCTCTTTACAAAAATCCTGAACTTAATAATAGCATTAATTATTCTACAGGTAAAAAGATAAGCTGCTTATTTATCATTAAATTAATTAATTGAGTCATTGTAGAAAATGTCATTGGATAACCTGAAAGTTTAATCATTAAGTTATTAGTGATCAGTTTATTATCATTAACTAATGAATGATCAAAAACTGATCTAATGCTAACTAATTATTGCAATCTTTTTCTTAATTAAGATTATTTCTCCTATTTACTAAAATAAAATTTCTCTTTGCAAAAATTATAATATAAAAACAATAATGTTTAAGAACACGGAAATCAAGCTTAATATTATTCCTTTTTGTAAGCTAATTCATTATAATTTAATCAATGATAATGACAGGAATATTTTCAAGCAGTTTGTCTGATTAAAATACTAAGAATATTTTCAAAATAAAAATGATATCCAATATAATGAAAGGATAATATGTGAAAGTCTTCAAGAGAGTATTTGAGAACAATCCATTGAATCTATTCATCATATTTCAGACTGATACAATTACGTATCTTTCATTTTACTTAATGCAATTTCTTTTATGCAACAAAAAAATATATGCATAATTAAATTCCAAATTATACTTTGACTAAATTCTTTAAAATAAAATATACCATCACTAAATGTCAGCAGCATATAAAAAGCTTTTTATTTTATCATCACTAAATAAAAATGGAGCAAGTACAGCAAATGAATAATTATTACTTAATCTCGAGCTTAAATAAAACGGAGATGCGGAAATGGAACTACCCTTTCTGAGAGTAAAATTTCGTTGAAGTTTGTCAAAATAAAAAAAGAAACGATAAATCTTTTTAACATATTAATATTACAGTATAATGTTATTAATTATTTAAAGCTCTAGCAAGAAGCCATTAAAATTATGAGAAATAATTCGACAGCACTTTAGCCTTCAACGATTGAAAATACCATCCATCACGTGTCAAGAGACAATCATTTTCTGAGCTAGCACAAAAAATGCATAATTTTACATACTTTATTTTCAGTTTTGCGCAAAAATAAATAACTTTGAAAATTTTGCATTTTAAGCGGAATGAATAAATAAATGAAAAAATCTTTGACGTCCACTTAGTAATTGGTGTTGTTTCACAGAGTTACGAAGACTCTTGTTCTAATTTACTAGCAGTACTCAGTTACGAAAAATCAATCATCGCGATTTATCTACTCAATACACTACTGGTATGCTAGAAGTTTATTCTACAACTGTTAAAAATATTGCTAGATCAGAAAAAGCCGCTTGCTGTTTTTTTAAATAACTTTATTAAGTTTACAAAGCTAAAAAAGTCGGCCTTTTAGATTTGGTATTTCCAGCGAGAAAAATTCTTAAATGATTTATTCGCATGGGAATAATATAAATATTTGTAACAAGATGATAATAATGAAGCAATACAAAGTGACAAAATAAAATTTTTCACAATTTTCTTTCGCAGTGAAATAGATTGACCAAGTCTGATAATGGAAATTCATAAATACTGTTCTTTAATACAATTTGACACCAAATAAACAATATCATCTAAATATTATGATTTATCCTTATTACTAAAGTTTTAGATTTGCAAAAATTTTGATTCTTATTTTAAGATTACTTCAACATTAAATTCAGTATTTACAATGTACTGAATTTTAATAACAAAACCAAGTAAACAATCCACAGATAAAATATCAAAAACAAATTAATTATAGTCTAACCACAAGAACAAAATGAAATTGGCACTGACTATGGCCTTTAACTTAGTATGAAAATTTTATATTTTAGGATGCTGGATATAAAGATCTTAAATACGAATTTACAAAATTCAGTATAAGCAACGTTCTGCAGTGACTAGTAATAACGTTCAATATTTCTCAAAAAGAAAAAGAAAAAACATTCTGAAAATAATCCCAAAGAGATAAAAAAAGATAAAAAATTCTCTTGAGAATTAATAAAACCGTGTAATTAGTTTAAAAACGCATATAATCACTTAGTTTATCGTTTCAATTTGTGAGAATAAAACTCTTAAACACAATTTCGTATACGATTATTCACCATTGATTGAAATAGGTAGAGCTAAAAATTTATCAAACCATAAGAAGTGATTAGTAATTTGCGAACAAAAATTAATTCTACTAAGAAATATAACAAAATAGCGAAAAGCTGCAACAATTTGATTGCTTAAAAACGCACGTTTTTAAATAAATTATTGCTTTTTGCTATTTAAGCTACTGCTTCGCTACATTTTATCGAGATTTAATCAAATTAACTGACATCCTAATGCAATTAATGAAGAGTATAGAGACGACAGCCTCACAAGCAATTTTAAATTGTACTTAACAGAAAGAATTTCTTTTGCACTCCCTTTAAGCCTATGGAAAAATAAATAAATTGATAAATAGTGCAGGAATGATGACCTTCGACCTTCAAACATAAATGAGTCCAGCTTTTTATTTAATTGTTCTTTCGTTTCCCTTCATGCATTAAAAAAAAGCAGATTTTTCGGTTACTGCATAAATCAACAGTTGTTTTTATACCAAAATCAAGACATTTACAATAGGCTGTTGTCTGCTGTAAACTAAAAACAAGAAAACATTTTTAAAGTTTTTTTGCTGAGGTAATCATCTGGAAATAATACCAAATAAGTGATCTGTTTTTAGCTTCAATATGATTCTCGAATACTAATTAAAATTTTAAACTGAACTAAAATATACCAAAAAATATATCTGCCATTTTTCAATCCTTTCACATTTTTTTGATTGTAATAACGAAGTTGAATATGGATCAGTCAATATCCAAATCTGGAATCACAGCTGAATCCCAGAAGTCAACCTGGAATGTTAACAATAAACAGTGAAAGTTGCTGACTCGATATCAAAAATATGCGTGAAAAAAAATTATTCAATCCAAAACAACGAAAAAATTTGTAATTATGAAACTCTTCTAGTCTTCTACTCATCAAAAAATTGTTAAGACATTTCAAAAACAAACATTATTCGAATTACTCAATCCATCAGCTATTGCAAATCTTTGAGATGCCTTGGCCATGTTAGAAATATTTTGGTTTTTAGATGGGATTTTCTCCAATTTCAAATTAAATGAAGGCGCTTTGGAAACAACAGGTTCCATATCGGCAAAGAAATCTAGCTCTTTTTCGTGCGTTATATTCTTGGATATCTCTGGGACTTTACCTACTGAATTTTTAAAAACAAATTACTCAAGATTTCGGATGGAAAAAAGAGAAAATGTAGTCTACTACATTAATGAGCAAAATTATTTCAGACAACTGTTGTTCTAAAAATTAACTTCCAAATTATTGTTTCAAAAAAAAATTATATTTTATTTTTTTTAAAATGACGATTAATTGATAAAGAAATTAGGCCTTTCCTGAAAAGCTTAGTTTTGATCAAGTAATTCGAACTCCCGAAAGCCTTCAAATTCCCTTACATTAAACTGGTTTTCTGAATCTCATGGATTAGGCACAAATTTTGAGTGATTCCAATTATACGAAATTCACTAATCCTTTAGATACAGAAACCTGCATGAAGCAATTATATATTAATACAAGTAAAAAGAGTGACAAATGACAAACCAACTGAACATTCCAACTTGAAACATCGATTATTTGCTATTGTAGAGACAAATTCATTTCTCGTTTCTTCTTTTGAATCGACTGACAAAGTTTTGTCTGGAATGTCAGTCATTTCTGTTACGTCCCAAGTCTGATTCCAGTCTTCCTACAAACAATATCCAGAAAATTCCCGGCTCAATACCTGATAATTTACACCTTAAAGACTCATTATGCTATAACCTTTCCATATTCTGCGAAGGAATCAAGTTGAAGTTTTATTTGAGATTGTTCAAATACAAGTTCATCGTCTTTGAGTAAACCAAACAAATTGGATGACGACGATGTAGACATTTCTCTTTCAAGTGAACAAGAGCTGAAATTATTTCATATAAACTAAATATATTCATAAGCAAGTAAATTTTAACAACCTATGACAATTATAACAGCAAATGTGTCCTAACCTTGTCTCATTGAAGATTTCCGTTGTGGATTCTTTTTCGATACTAAGTGGTTCACTAGTCTGAAGCGAAAGTGAAATGATCATTTTTTTTCTGTAAGTGAATAGATTAATAACCATCACAAGATTATAATACTACTTATCATTAAAATAAAGCATACTTTTGGTCTGCCATTAGCAAAAATTTTTTTACGAGTTAAACCAGTTACAGCTTCTCCACCAATCACTTCCACTAAATGTGCCATCGAATGAAGCGAAGCACTAACAATCTTATCTTGCTTATCCTGCATTCCAAGAGAAAGCTGAAAATACTCATATCTTGAGTTGAACGGGTTGTTCTGCCAATTTTGAATGAGCTCTTTTACATTTATGCAATCAAATCCTAAAATGATTTATTAAAAAGTCATTTCTTGCAAATAAAAGAATACATATTAACTAAAAATGATCAGACCACTCTTCAATCAAAATATACACCTCGTATAATACCATTTCAAGCTGAGACCGAGAAAAATAACGCATATATAAATGAAAGTATGAAAGAAGAGCCAGACGAACTGCTGTTTCATGAACTGCAAATATTTTCACCAACTCCGGAATAATCCATTTTTGAAACGATGATTCGCATAATAAACCATCTTTGCCTTCATTGCTTACTTCAAAAATTTTTAAATGAACATAAAATGTACTGATAATAATAACATACGTAAAATATTAAAGTTCAGCAAAAAGAGTTTTAAAACTTCATTAAAAGTACATTATGGCTCTGTAAAATCAAACAAGTATAGGGAAAAATCAAGTATTCAATTGATGCTATTAAAATACCTGTAGGTTGCAGAACAATAGGAATCAATTTTTCTTGAGCAACAGAATCAAGAAGAATATGTCTGGAAAGCAACAAAGGTACAAGACGTCGCCCAATTACTTCTTCTGGTAATGCCTTTAATTGGCTGACGATTGTCCTCAAAATAAATATTCTATCGAATTATATACTTTCATAAATATAGGACTCAAGTAAAATGAAACTTGAATCTTCATTAATAAATACTTAGTGACAATAACTGATACAACTGATAGAATGAATATCCAAAGCATACAATTCACTGATATAAATTTACATTTTTCTAGGAAATGATTACATATTTTCCACGGATTTTACAACCATGCTAAACGTACTATACGCGAGTAGAAAAACAAGTTTTCGTAATACATTAGTTAAATTATGGGATTTTTTCATCACATTAGTCAAATAGATGTAGCACATTAAAGAAACTTTCATGCAACATTCGGAGCAGCAAATCTCAAATAAATATAAATCTTACGCAAAAAAGTCTTGCTTTTCTGCACAAGACTTTGCATGAATATTTTGCAAGAAATCAACTGCGACAGTCAAATGATTAGAGAAGGCCTCTGGATATGAAGTTGGCAAACCACTCAATTCACCTCGTTTATGTGCATCATTTTCAGTCAAACGATGAGCAACTCTTTGTAAACAATCAACTGTTTCTGCTGCAGAAAGTAATAAAAGTAATCCATTAATATTTTTAAATAATGCTCTAATATGAAAAGTTAAATAAATCACCTACTGTAAGTTGAAATTAATTGATTGAAATAGGAAAAATTATACTTACTCATCAAATGCTTTTCTAAATAAGGCAGTGCATAAAAAATTAATTTTCCGAAGGCGAAAACATCTCGAGCAGTTGGTGGAATATCAACTGATACCATCATCTGAAGCATAGGCTACAGTTCATAATCCCTGAGTACTTGAATTGCAAAATAGCAAATAAAATGTGATTTACCGCATCAAAACATTCTCATCTTTATATTTGAAATTTCAAAACAAGTAGAAAAAGGTTCCAGCTCAGCAACTAATCAAGTCAGAAAAAACCTTATTCAGTGAACTAGACATGAAAAAGAGTGGGATTTGCAAAATAAATTCGATTCCGTTCACTAAGTCTTAAATCTAAATTCACATAATTCATGACAATATTGGTCACGATCAAGTACCATAAAAAGTTTCAAACCTTATCTTCTACTGGAGCAAACTCTGCTATTTTTATTGAATGTACAAAATCAGTTTGTACCCAGTGTTTCGAATTCACCAATTTTTGCGCACATTCAAACCCACCTAATTTCCATTGTCCATCTGAAGTAACATATATCGAATAAGGGCAGACGTTGTTATGACAGATATATGCCTAAATACATAATTCATATTTAACAAAATTTTATACACGATGCACTCCACAAGCAGTTCTGGACTATAGAAAGAAAAAGTAGTGTCAACAACCGACTAAAAAGCCCGAGAACTTCGTCAAAAAATTTGTCATATCAAGGATATGGGTAAGTCCGGATTATTACATTAAATCTTTCTTCAAACTGTTTAATGTACTTGCGAACTTTGAGCGATTCACATCAAATGAGTACAATAAATTTTTAAAATAATCAATTCCGAAAAAACCTAAAAAAGTAATTTCAACTAACTTTATTGTGCAAAAAAATCAATGCACTGAGGATATGAGTAAGTCCAGAATGAATTTCGATCGGTGATAAGTTACTAATTGCTAAATCAAGAATTTGAATTCGTTCTGTCAGCAACCATATCTCATGTTTATTTACCGCGCAATCAATGTACTTAGTAATATGCGGATGGCGTAATTGTCGGAGAATCTGTAATTATTTTAAAATTAAATTTCAAAACAAAAATCACTAACGTTACAAAAAAGTGTAAATAGTGACTTAAAGAATTTATATCCGAACCTTCAAGCCATTCTCATAGAAATGAAAATTTTCTGCTGAATCAGTCGGTGCAAATTGACGAATAAATACTGTACATTTGTGTCCTTTACATCCCAAACATTGCCTCACATTGCTCCACAAACGATAAATATCTGAACTCTTTGATATTTCTTCCCCAAATTTAACGGGATTATTAAGAGCTATAATGGCATTGCCCATTTCTGCAAGCAAAAATCCTTACTACCTTCTATTACATATAAAACCAACTGCTTTAAAATTACATAAAAATAACATTCTTAAGATGGAATAAGATAAAATACTTTCACCTCTAACAAACCTTCACCATGCTATCAATTATCTAATTACTCTTGTTTTTATTCTAACCTTTACTGGTATTAATATCTAACCTACCCATACGTCGCCTTCTACAGAGCCATATAATCTGTACAAATCTAACCTTTGCAAACGGAACCAAATTGTATCAAAAACATCCAATATAGGCATTTAAGGGCACCCCAAGAAGTTCATTTTAGCCCAATTTTACTGCAGTACAACAACATGAAAGTAGATTTCAGTAGGGGAAATTAGAAAAATTTCGCTTTTTCAGTAAATTCAAAACGAATATTGTCCACAAGCAAGATGATCTGAAAATGGGAGATAATGCCGGAAGGAAATGGCAAAGTCCAAAAACTGATAAACTGATGATTTGAAAAACCTCACGAAATTTTCGAATGCTCAAACACCACCAAATAATTTATTTTCAGCAAACTTTACAACTCAAAGTACTAAGAATCGATGACAATAAAATTGGGAAGGTTGAATAAGTTAACTTATAACTTTAAACATTATAGAAATTCAATGTAATTAATGACAATACACGAAGTTCAGAAGATGATGTATACTTTTTCCATGAAGTAAAACAAGAAAGGATTAAAATGACAGTAACTCTTATTCTGTGAAAAGAATATTTTTTCAATCGATACGTTATTCAATTTAAAAATATTCTAAAAAAATGAAATATTTCAATTGATAAACAACTAACCTATTTAACAACAGTTGTCCACCACCAATTAAAACTAGCGAAAATTACTATTTTTAACCTGGGAAACAAAATTCCTAATTGCAAAACGAAATTCATAAATACATGAAAGGAACTGCTGCAGCAACCTTTCATCTACACCTTCAATTCTGAACTTTAACTGACGCCATTATCACTTGATCGCAATATTTTACAATTTTGATTTCTATAATATTGATCAGAATGCACGGATTTATAATTATCTTTACAACTATCACTTGAATTTTGAAAAAAGATGGTTGCAGTCATAATTCAATAAATATTCTCACAATCAAAATAATTACGATCCCAATACTTGGCAGTGAAAACCCACGGTAAACTGTCTTTGCTAGTTAACTGCACTTTCTCAAACCACCTGAAAATAAGATCAGAAATTAAATTGATCCATTCAAGCACATGTGAGAAAATTACAATTTATGAACCGAAAGTTCTTGATGAAAAAAAGAGAAACGAACGTTAACTTTGTCATTAAGGAATATCCAAAAAAATATAGTAAAGTTTCAGTTTTCCTATATTTCATACTTGGGTTTTTTTTCCAGTGTTTTTTTCATCAAAGCACGGGACTGTCTTTGTTTAACTTCTAGGCGTTCCTTCTCTCTTTCAGCTGCGTCTGAAAAGCATTTACAAAAAATTGACCAAAATTTACTATTTTTGCAGCAAAAAATGAAGTGTTCAGGCAAAAAAAATAAAAGTAACAAAAAATCGAAAGCATCTTTACTGCAGGAAGCAAGAAAAATAAGAAATACATAGCGATTTATGAAAATACTAACACTGACCTGATTCACCTGCTTCTAATAAACGAATGTCGGGCCTTCTTCGACTATCAGTTGGAGGCAATAAATCTGTTAGATCAGATGGGTCGTTTAAAAGGAATGTGAACGAAGTGAAGTTATACATCTGAAAAAATAATACCAAACAATACAATATTCCACTGACTTTCAGTATTCTGCTGCGGAAGAAAAATCATAAGAGATTTATGAGAGGAAATTAAAAGCTTACAGCAGATGAATTTGCAGGCCGAGAATTACTTTTCCATAACAATTTTGAACCTTGTATTAAAGGCACATTTTCCTAAAATATAAACTTCATAAACTTGAAAAAATTCAACTTCCATTTTTTTTCAAAGAAGAAATAAAATACAAGTATAATACATAATGAATAAAAAAAATGTAACAATTAAAATAATGAAGCAAAAAAATAAAATAATAGACAAGCAAAAATATACAGTAATAGGATGATAAAATGAAGCTTGCCGGACAATTTTGAAATAGCTCTTTGCTGCCTTCAAGCCAATTATTATAACGCATATCAAAATGGGTAACTTCGCAGGTCGCAAGAAATGTTGTCCAGTTCCCATAAACTTTTCTTAGAACATGATCACTGAAGTAGGGAATAGTTAAAAAGCTTTATAATAACAAAACTTATAACATTTAGGTGGAAGAACTAAGAAAGAAGAAGTGGTTATTGTCAACACGAAAAGACCTACAAACCCTTTTGAAATTTGTCCTCGAAAGAAGGTACATTGTCTTGAAGGGCCAGTATCACTATTTCTAAAACACAATTTGCAGTCTAGTCCTTTGCTACTGAATATATGGAACTGTCCATCCTGAAATAACAATTCATGATATACTATGTCAAGAATATTTCTGATATTTGGCAAAGAGAACAAAAACTCTATGCAAGTGTTGACATGGATGCAGAAATTTAGTAAGGAATTTAGACTAAGAGATTATACTTACCAACTGTATGTACATTTGACCCATAACAATATTATGAATGACAGTATTGAGCGTTTTCCATTTATAAACTTCATTATAACTATAACAGAGTGCATCGCATTCAGGGTGACATAAGAATTACTGTTCGAATCATTTTTATCAAATACATGTTTTTATTTCTGGAATAAAAACCTAATAAAAAACAAACTTTGGAAACTTTAGTTCAAAATTTCCCGACGGTTGCACGTCGATAGATGTTCCCCAAAATTTCAGCCGTGGCGAAATTACGCCATCAAATGTAAAATTCTTAGATTCAACATGAAACGCCGATACCGGTGGATGATGACTTACCTGCTCAGCAATAAAACGATAACCATTTTGCTCAGTCCTTAAAAATAAGAAAGTGATTTGTCAAAAAAAAACAGCAATTTAACGATAAAATCTTGTCATCCTACATTCAAAAAAATGTAACTCTTTCGTCTAACTTAAGGATTCTAGTAATAATACACCACTTTTTTTCAGACTAAAAGAAAACATTATAAAATTTAGGTAAAATTTCAGCAGTTAAACCATTAAATTTTCATGGTTACAAAAAATGAGAAGCTTATTGATTAAGTAAGATAAATTCATATTATTTTAACGCATAAACTTTACTTTGATAAGAGCGAACTTCTTAATGATCAATCTTTACAAATTTCCTATTATTTAAAGTAGCTTACCGATCCAACTCATATGTTTCGAACCAAAGTGGATTGAATGGTTTTGACAGTCGCATATAATTACACGACAATGATGAAACGATGAATGCAGCAACATACTGTAACAGATATTTGTCGTAATCATGCAAAGTTGCCAGTACGAACTCACACAATTTCATCCTATATTTGAGCGCACCTCAAATCCGAAAATATGCCTAGCTAGTACCATTAAAAACGCATGACTAATTTATGCAAGTCATAAGATCAATTTTTCATTTCATCATGTAAAAGTTAAAAATCGTCGTTAAAATGCTGAAATTTCAAATACAATATTTTCAATACTTTGGAAGTATAATAAAATACAAAAACTATCTCACCTCTAATCTTTGAACGTCATCAGTGCATTCATTTGCTTTTTCCAGTAAGTGCGCATATTCCATGTACTCAGCAAGACGTTGAAGGAAACTGAGTGGTTCATTGAAAACTACTGGAATGCAAATCCGTGTCAAATCCTAAAAATCTGTTCTTATTAATAAAGAATGACAAATGATAAAAACCTTCATACATTATACATCACGCAACAGCAATAATATCCGAAACCAGTCTATAACTGATTACCTTTCCAATACACTTCTTAAGAAGGTTCCATATTTTTAAGTCACTTTTAGGAACCATTGATGCAGGCAGAGAATTTCTCCAATTGATTACATTATTTTCAGCACATAATTTCACTCCATTATTTTCCATGACATCGGCGCAATCTTTAGCCATCTTAATTCTGACTAAATTAAAAAATAATAACACAATTAATTTTTCCACAGATTATATAATAATCTGGATTAATTTTCAGGGATGAAAGAGCATTGATTTTTTAATATTAGCTATAATTGAACGAAATTATCATAATTTGAGTTTAGAAAATACGCAAAGCAAAACTTTAATGCATAAAGAAGCTTAAACTCAACCAGAAGATTTATTACAAAAAATAAAACTAATGACAAGCAATGTAAAAAGGTATATCATTCGATTGACTAAATTAGATTCAGCAGCAGATGAACCTCAAATTTTCAACAATATTTCATCGCAGTGGTAAAATATCTGCATTTCAGACATACAAATTTATTGCTTTCAACAACGAAACATTTTTTTTAAGTAAAACATTGATGACAATTAGAAACAGAATTATATTCCCACTAACTAAACTCTGTTTATGGACTTACAGACTACTACATTTAGAAAGCATAATCCCGTTTCAGTAAGCTGATTTTAGATATAGTTGCTGCATTAACTCGGCATTTATCTTTAAAAACAACTGCACTGAGATTCGATATTATTTTGGCTAGGTAATTCTTATCAGATCGACAGATACTCTTATTCTCAGTACTGTAAGTTCATGATAGTAAACCTGGCTAAGGTAAGAAAAAGCAAAACGCTTCATACGTTAGATATTCTATTCACATAACTGATATTGAGCATACAAATACAGTAAATTAGAACACCTGCAAAGTTACTGTAGCAACACATTATTCGAAATTTACTTTTGTAATATAATAAAGAGTGTACTCTCAAGACAAGTGACATTTAATCAGGCTTCTTTCTGTACAGTAAGAGTACTGTATCTACAAAAATGAAATACTCGCTTTTTTTAGCATGAAGCTTATAACAGTTCACTTTTTCAGATGAAAATAACTTCACTCTCGAATCTTCTGCTACCATATTTTTATGTACAGAAACCTTGTTTGTTCGTAAACGTCTTTGGGAATGATGAAGTTTGTTAGAAAATATTTGTAAATAAGTGAAGTTAAAGAAAAGTATAGCAGTAATAAGTAGGAGAGATTTAAAGATTGCTAACACTGGAAAGAATGTATATTATCAACTATAGAGACAGTATACAATAATTAGAGCAGAAATTGAGAGGGAAAAAAGTGTGTGAAGAGAAGAGAGGATAGGAAATGCGAGATATCGCGTAGTGCGATTTTGAATTATGAAGCTGAATGAATAATGGCTGAATATTAATTTTATGCTTGCCAGTTATGAGTATTTAAGGTTTAGCTATTCTTACTGTTTGTTACTGTGTGATACAGTAGCTTGTAATTATGGAAATTGCATAGTTATCGATCAGTTGTGACAAGTTTTTTTTTGCATTTTCGGAACTTCACGTTTTAGTGTTTGCAGAAATGGTGGTACCGAGGTGGGTGAGAGTCTGGCGTGTTGCTCGTGCGTATCCTCGATATCTCTGGAATAACTACACTGTGCATGTACGTTTCTGTGTTTGTTTTCCCTTGTTTTGCATTTTTCTTCCTTACAGCCATAAGTTCTCCGTCTAAAATGGCAGCAATCAGAAACTTCCAGTTTTCAATCTAAAAAGTAGTTTTTCAAATTATTTTTGCAATGGCGAAAAATGCTCGTAATAATAATAATATCCGATTCATATATAATTTATCGCTTTTAAAATGCTATGTCCACTACATATGTGATTAATTTTATTGGTTTAATTGTACACGAAACTTTTGGTGTTGGCCAGTATTTTTAAAAATTACTTTTGAAATTGAAAACTAGAAGTTGTTAATTGTTAATATTTGCTTTTGGTTTGAGAATTTCTATTGAAATTTTAAGTGATTTGTCATAGAATTATTATTGTGTTGTAATTAGGTTCTTGCACTGAAAAAATTGTTACTCATGAATAGATATTAATGCTTATTGCTCATGCTTTTAAAAATATTTTCAGATAAATCTGTTTTAGTTTGTTGGTTTCACATGTTGTTTCATTCCAATGAGCGCAGTATTGATTTATCAGATAAGGAAGCATGGCTTTGGATATGATTGTTAGCATTTTTGATTGGTTTTTTAGGAAATGAAAATTTTTTCGCCCTGAATAAATCGATATTATTGTCATTTATTGAGAAAATATTCTCTAATAGAATAAATTTCTTTAATTTTTCTCAAAAAATTATAGCAATTGGGGTAAAATAATTCTTCAGTGAAGGCTATTGTCTCTTATAGGTTATTATTTTATCTTCGATTATATCTGTGCAGTACTTATCTAGTTTCAGTTAACTTTGACTAAATACGTAAGTCTCGGTTGAAATCATAATATGTTGTGGGGTCTTTTCTGTTATTCGCGTAGTCTTTTTTCTCTTTTAAAGTATTAAATTATTGTTTTTAGTTTTATTATATTGTTATTATTCTTTTGTTATTTCAAGATATGCCATATTACCGGAACTATTATCATGTAGTACGTCCTGACGATCCGATTGCTGTGGAATGGAGACCACCTGAAGTCAGTCTTATAGAAATTTTTATGAAAATCATTTCTCTCGCAGTTTCTCGTTTCAATTTTAATGCTCTATAGTTTTTTCGTGTTAAAGTAGCTTTTTTAACTCGAAAACGTATAAATTACTAACTGTATTATTTCTCAGTTTCTAGGATTATCCAGCGCCGTTTGAAACTAATCGAGCAAACCGTTGGCCAACCTCATATTGGAAAGATTACGGTATGGGATTAAGAAAATGGAAAGACTGAAGTCTCAACACTCATCTGTAAACAGTTACTGAAAAAGAAAACAGTTACGCATTTGCATTTGCTATATCAACCATTTCATTCAACTTCACTTTTGATCTAATTAAAGGAAAATCAGTTGTGAATTCTATTGCAACCTTCATTTTGCTTTCGTAATGGGTCTCAACTCAAATTCTATATTTTATTTTAGGGTTTGTTCTATGTAGTGAAAAGTTATGAACAATACCAACGAATAATGGAGAATGTGATTGCTTATTTGATGGCTTCTTTTTAATTACTAGATTTGTAATGTCACAGAGGTGTTTTTATGAATATTTATTATTATTGCTAATATGTATTAATGAATAAAATTATTTTATTTCATGTTTTGTTTGCAAGAATCTCTAATAAATTTACGACTTTAATTTAGTTGTCTTTTGCTAGTGGGGCAGTAGATATGCAATATAAAATTGATGGTCAAAATATTACTATAAAATTACACTTGAAATTTGAGTTGTAATGTGTATTTCTCCTTCTATGGACAGAGTACAAGATGTGGGATGGTTTCTTTACTTCAGCTGTAGATCTCTTCTTAGATGTTAAGAAAAGAAAGTGATAGTAATCTTACTCTGTTATCATTTTCGGATCAAAGTTGAAAGATAAATTGGGTAAAATATTTGTTTGTAGACAAGAAAGGAAAGGGTAATTAGCGTTTGAGCGATTGGAGACAGGAATTGTCGATTCAGTCATAGATTATCATCAATGATATTGCAGAACTTTCAAGTTTCTGTAAATACTACCTTCTACCCAACTACTCAGAAAATATGTTACAATAATTTTCTATCAAACATCATTTATTGACAATTCAGTCCTCCTAATAGGCGTGACAAATTATCGCTCATAATCCTTCCTATATTCATTTACTGGAAATATTCACTCACTTTTTTCAAACTCATCTTATTTTGAATTTGTACTATTTTTCATGCTTAATACTATTTTTATTGGCTTTAGTTGTTTATGCGCATTTAATGACGTCATAGTTGGTTCTCAGGTTTGTTAATTTTAATCACTTATATTTATTTAAAAAGTTATTTAAATCTCTGGCCAGTTTGTTGACTATTGGTAGGTCAAGAATAACGGACTTTAAAATCTTTGCAGAAACAAGTCAAGACATAATAACTTTATATTTTTATATTGTATTACGGTGCGTTTAAAATATTTATTATTCTGAATTTATTAGAGCTAATGGCGCAAATATTGTTATACCAATGATCAACAAGCCTTGGAATGTGTTATTAATTCTACAGCTATTTTTTAGAAAAAGTTAAGATTCTGTAATTAAAAATTCGTAATGATGAATGTATTTTGCTGAAAGTGTTTGAAAATAATAACTAATTTATTAACAAGTTAATACAATTTATCACTGAACTGTGAGGAAAATTTGCTGATTCTTATTATGAAAAGTACTTAATTCTCTTACTGCATTCTAAAATGCAAATCTATTTTCAAATATTTTATCATTTAATCAGTATTTAAAAAAGATTTGATTGTGGTATTATAGCAGATTAAAAGTGATCCAACAAATGGTATAAAATGGATATATGTTGAATTTTTCGATTGTCCATCAATTCGCGAAATTAATATAAGCGCAATTCGTGAAGCATTAGCACGATGGATTAACGAAGAATGCGTTGCAGCTTTAAAATGCGATTTAAATGGCAAAATTGATGCAAATAATATCTTAATCGGTACTGTATCTTGTGGTGCAAATCAAAATTTCATTACAATCCGAGTTTTGAAAAATACTACCAACATAACATTTCGAGAAGAACAAGGTAAATTAATAAGTTTTTAAGTATTTAATTCTTCCTCTAATCATTTTCTATTCAATTTATGCAAAGATTTTCAATTTGATTAAGATCAAACTCATTTAGCCTTGAAAATTAGACAGTGGAAATTTAATGCTCAGCATGTTACCGTCTCCACGCATACCAATTCAAAAGTTCATTACAATTAGTCTTTAATTTAATTTCGCTATTTTCGATAATTTTTTGCATCATCTTTTTCCCACAATATTTAGAGCTCATAAATGTTTTCTGCTTGATTAAATGCTCTTATTCACGCAGATAATTTGCATAAATCGTTCTTGCTAACGCAATTGTTAGTTTTCATTTTAATGTTAAATACTTTTAGGATTTTTGGTGCAAAATTATGCATTTAATCTCTTTAATTCTTAGTTTGTTATAAGTTTTGAAAAAACGAAAATTTTTTTTGCACATAGCTGACATTTCAGAAATACTCGCTTAGCTATATCATTTGTATATCAGAAATTAAAATAAAATTGATCACGAAAGTTTTCATAAAGCTTTTCTAAAATAAATTAGATAAACTCATTTTCCGTATCATAAAAAATAAATGCAAATATTTAGCTATTAGCTGGAACTTTGAACTCTACAATTTCAGGTTTATCAAAGTATTACCTGGATTTGGATTTGAATATTATTGGCAAAGTGATAGAATCTAGAGAGCACTTATTATCTATTCTTCTCCATTCAGATTTAAGGCTCGTTACAGTTCAAGTTATTAAAGAAAGTGCAGAAATTAGATCTACTAATGCAGTTGACAAATTATGTTATAATTTTTACTGCTTTATAATAATTTTTTCATTTATTGCATTTATTGTTGTGCTGTTTTTCATTTTCGCTGTTAATAAGAATGTTGAGGAACATACTTCTGTAAGTCCAAGTCATTCATTACTATTACTACAAGTGATGCGAAATTAGATGTGCAAATTTTTAACATTATAAACGATTTTAGTGATAGAATGCGTAGTGATGTTAATAATTAATATAAAAATAAACTAGTTTCAAGTATCCAATTAATGTTATTTTTGAATATTTGCATAAGATGATCAATTAAATCAAGATTTGCTTATGAACTGAAATAATTAATATTTTGTAGTTTAATGAATGGCTTTGAAAAGCTGTTCGTATTTATTATTAACAAAAAATATAATTAATCAGTATCAAACGATAAAACGTGAAAAATTATTACATAGAAGTAGCTAATAATTTGTACATTTTCTTCATTTCAGAGTGATGCAAAAATATTGTGACTACTTTCTATAAAATTTATCTATCTTGTTAATGCGTTTCAATAATTTATTACATATCATGTCTCACTCAGCAATTTGTTGGCCAAAAATTATTTCTAACGCTATCTCTTTCTTTGAAAAGTTTGTTTTTGAATTTTTGTTTTAACAAATTCATCCCTCACATTTCTTCTGGTACCGTTGCTTGTGGACAAGATTCTAGTAAATTGTAATTACGCAAATACCATCACTCTTATGAGAATCTAAGCGTTTTTTAAAAGTAAATTTTAACACAGAATTCAGACAAACTAACTCTGTGACGAATCAATAAAGAAAATTCTCATACTAACTGTTAACTCTGATAGTAATGAATTTTTTTTCGGCAGTCAGAAATTGGATCATAACCACTAAATGTCTATTAATTAATTAATCGTAATATTCAAGGATAATCTCATCTAACTTACGTGGTTACAATTTCAACGATTTTATTTTTTCAAGAACTCTCGGAAATACCTTAATAGAATTAAATAAATAAAAGTGAACTGTTGAATTTTAACTATGAATTCAGTACTTCGGAGAATTAAGAATTAACTTTATATTATATATCGAAATACTAAAATCTGGAGTATAATAACGATCAGTTAGTTTTTTTCCACTAAGTGATCACTAAGTCTTTAGCAAAGATATCTTTCACAGTGGACTGCAAATTATAAGACTGAGAAATTATATTAAAATTATTATTTGTGTTTTCATCCAGCGCGGACATAGACGAAACATTCCGAAGTCAAGATTGCTCAACCTGATAAGTTTTACTAACTTCGTTCATAATTCTGCAAAAAGCCACAAATTTGATTTTCCAAACTACATAACATAATGCCACAATTCACTTATGGAATACACATATACATCACTGCGTGTATTTAACACAACTGTCTGAATAGCGATAGTTAGATTACTTCGGATTCCTACTTTGTGCTCCAGGATCCTAGTATTACAGATAACAAGAGATTGGAACTTATCTAGGCTTAAATCCGTGTCACGCAAGGAAAGAGATACTATCTCAATTCAAAAGCGAAAAATTACTTCCAACCCTTCATCAAATTTAAAAAAATGTACTGCGCCTATATTACTGCAACATACATCTGAGTATCAGTTCAGGTGCATTAATTACCGTCAAATAAAGCAACTTTTGCTGATCTAAATTTTTTATAATTTATTTCTGAAAACGTAATATAAGTCTAGAAGTGATCTTTGAAGAACAATAGAAAGAAACTGGAATTTTAATTTTCCGGCAAATTCTTTGTTAAATTTATGATCACTTTGACAATTTGACTGGCCAACTTTCACGAACTACCGAATTGAGTTTGACATCATTTTATAAATGATAAATATTAAGTATAATTCTCAGACAGACAAATTTTTGGATCTTGCAGACTGAAGAATTCCAAAGGCTGCAATCAACAGAATAAATTCACTTGGAAATATATTGGGAATTCGCTCTTTCTTGAAAGGTTTTTAGTACATTTTTGCAGTAACTGTCAGACCTACAGAGAAAAGCAATGTCCTTCTTGAAATAAAATTGCAAATACGCTTATGGCAGAAACAGTACATTGGTGACTTCGAATTTGATGAAAATAAAACGCTCCATCAAGGTTAAATTACTCAAATCAGCTTAATGTCAGATCAATTCTAAAGCTAATTTTATTCCTAAAATCAAACTGCTTCTGTCTCTTTGTTTTCAACTTGTTCCTGTACTTCCAGCCCAAAAAGACTGATTTTGTTGCCAATTAAAACTCATTTATTCAGTATCAAAAAAATCTTGAAGTCCAAAAATTTGGAGAGTGCAACTACAAAGTCAAGATAAAACTTGATCACGTGAATAAAAACTTGTTAGCTGAAAATGATAATTAGAAAAATAAAAGTGATAATGCGCAAGATTTGAATATATCGCAGTAACAAAAGTTTTAACAGCATTTACTGCTGCGAATAAAGATATCAAAATGATGAAATATAAAATGATCTGAAGACACATGAAGGGTAGTAATCGTAAAATCTGAATAAAAAATCGTGCACGAAGTCACATCAGCTGAAAGAACAGTAATTTTGTGCGAAACTAACAAATATATTGAACTGCAGACACACATTAACTAACACAGTAATTTCCGTGACATTATATAACACTTAAAAACCAGTTGGAATGCTGTAATGGTTCGAGATACCCTGCTTTTGCTGCACGAGTAAAAGAAATACTCCATTCGTGAATAACAGTCAAAGGTTACACAAGTGTCATAGAATTTAATCTTTCGAATGCAACATTGGTTATTTCTGTCTGAAAAATGGTTTTCGAAAGACATTACAATACTAGTATCAAATAAAAAATACCTCAAAATGATCGAAAAGAAACTTAACAGCCTCATATAAATAAATACTGTTAACGCAGCATAAAAAGCTCAAGAAGATTCAGGAAATCTTTTCTGCCATATCGTCATGAATTTTGAGACTTTGATTATAAAATTATTTCAGTAAAAGCGATAGTACCTATAAATGTCATAAATTACAAACAGCAAAACAGAAATGAATTACAATTAAAAACGATTGATCACAGCATTATTGGCGATTTCACAAATTTTTGAGCTATTTCATAACAACGATGAGTCCAATTTTCATAATTTGGATCTACTTTGGTAGTCAACTATGGTACCCATGTCAATGAATCAACATCTGAAAAAAGCAAAATGATCACAAGCACGATAGTCATTTTGAAATAACTATTATAATACTGAGTCAAAAGATGGTTTGCATCAAAAAGTATTCGCAAACATACAATATACTTTGATGTATAAAATCTTACATTCATCACTGATTAAATAATCTAACACTAGCCCAAAGAATGATTTGTGCGACTTTGCTTGAATATTACCTGACTGAAAGTACCTAAAAAAAAATTGATGTTTTTAAAACAATGTTTCGAAAACAATTTTTAAAAAAAATAAATAAATAACTATACCATCCAAGACGACTTAAACAGTTAGGACAGACACAAATCGTCCACTCGAAGTTTTGCCACCACGTATTGTCAAAAGAAGACTGCAAAATAATTTTTGATCTCATTTTCTTTCGTGGTAATACTTATTGCAGGGAAAGGAATAATCACTTTTAAACAATACCAACCAACAAGTTTCTTATTGTACAATTCCTTTGATTTTATAGCCCATGTGTTGAGAATAAACTGATGTAAGAATATAAATTAGATGATCACTCTAACAAAAATTTATAACAAAATATCGTCAAAAAATGCATTCTCAGAAACAATGCATACAAAAATCTTTGGTTGTGCTTACCTCACCTTCCAGTTTAACTTCAGCACTTGAGGCGGTTATTACATCAAATTCCTCGGCTAGAAAGAAATGAATTGAAAAACACAAACTCATGTCAGTATTATTTCATTTACTAAATCTCAGATCATCATTTTTCAGGATTTTGATACAAAATATATGTGTTTAAGATCACAGGAACCAGTTCGTAAATTAAAATGAAGAAATCTGCGATCAGATTTCTTATAGTAATTAATGTCTAATTAACTGATGCTAATTGAGGCAATCACCTATATAAATATTAGAAATACAATGAAGGTACTGACATATATGAAGCATATCTACGGATTATTGAAAATAAAAATCAAAACATACGGACAGTGTTTTGAAAAACTTGAACAAGCTGGTTTTCATTCAAAATAGTCATATTATATGAACGGATAGCTCTATCACTCTTTACGTTGATAAGCTTCGATCCTTTAACAATTTCATGCCCACAGTTACGACAGAGCAGTGCCACTGATTCTGAACCGAAATGACATTACCGCGAAAAATAATTTCAAAAATACAAAAATTATTCCAATTTCAAAACCCTGAACGGAGCAACAGAAATGGTATATTAATAGTAATGGCAAAAAGTGAGAAATTTAGCAGATGGCCAAATAGAGATGGAAAAAACTATGATTTCCAATCCTTTCATATGAAAAATTTATAATTAAATACGTAGTAAGAATAAAAGTGGGACTGAAATAAACAAAAAACTACAACAAATTTTAGAGAAATAAAAACAAACCTGTAAGTACAGGTAACAGTAACCACCGTACCAACCATAGAAAGTGCATATATTATGCTACGTTCCAAGTAGGACACCAAAAATTTAATCAGAAATCAATAACAATCAATGTTTGTACATAAAAATAGTACCTATAAGCTCACGACGGTATTGGTCAATTCTTTCTCCCACAAAACTCGAACAAATCCTTTGCTGGTTTTAATGCATTAGAAAAATGATTGTTCAACTACGATAGCCTTATTTTAAATTTCTTTGCCAAGTTTTTTCCTTTGCACACTTTCCTTTACACTTGAAAGCAAGAAGTAGTAAAATGAACCACATATTACCAAGACTAGAACCAAAATTGCAAAGCCAACACCTGACACCTCGGACTCCGCTGCTGATTTGTTAGTAATGAAATTGTCAAAGATCAAAATGAAAATTTTACATCCCACACATTGTTATTGAAATTGCTGAGACTTCAACAATAATTTTCGCTTTAAAATCATTTATCAATCATGTCCGAGGTCAGAAAACCTCCAGATCGGAAATGCCCTTTGACATCCTGCGGAAAAAGTGCGAAATTTCAAAGTTGTATTTTTAAAATGTCTATTAATATGTTTTCAAGCTTAAATTTGCGTCAGTTAAGCAGGCATGAAAAATCTCAATTTACTTAGAACAAACTAGCTGTTTTTTCCATAAATATTTCATGCTTTAATAATGATTGATTTTTATTTTACAGTAGTTGATTTGAAAAATTTATTACTGTATGAATTATGAAAGTCACTTTTAATTTACTAATTTTCAACTTTTCTATGCATTTTTGTTAAACGGAAAAACCTCAACCTAACTGTTGCATTTACATTTTTAATGTTAAACACGTTTGAAATAACTTTTCACTAAAATATGCAATATACAATTAATCTAACGCTGATAATAGTTTGAACAATCTATATGACAATACAACTTAAATTCGCAGTAATACTTTTCATAATTTGTTTATGCTCGAGCAAAAATTCTCATGAATTTGATGTGATCGACTTAAATTTGCTTCGTGCTGCAGTGTACCATCAATCCGATTTTTGTGTGTGAAACGCAAATCGATCTTATTTTATTCGCATAAAAATGAGAAAACAAACACATACAAATATATTTAATAACATACAAAGAGCAAAAGACAGGTCAGAAACAAAAAACATTACACAATTGAAACAAAATGCCATAGAAGAGAAAGTTTCGAGAAAAGCTTTGATCTGATTGAACTAATTAAAAAAATTACCCTCCATTAAATCAATTCTTTTGTCTACAAATTTTCAGGAAAGTTTCAGCTTCCTTAAAACCACTCAGTAACGTTTACTTAAATGTTCACCTGAATCCCATGACTAGGATTGATGCATTACACATTTCATCTTTTACAAAATTAAATGCCTCGTGTTGGAACATCAAAACCACATGTATGACTAGAACTAGGAAGAATTAAATCTGACCTAACTCACAGTTACACTAGTAAAGATTTGGCGATGATGGCATATCATAATCACCTTTTTCTACTACTTACTATAGTTGGAGGAGTAGCTTAACATAGTTAACTTAGTTAACCTAATCTAGAATTACACACTCCTGTCACACTGTAAACTTCAAACGCTTAAAAGTTATTTTGAACGGAAAAAGACAACCTTTGTGGAGTTTGACGTGTGATAAAGGATACACGTCCGTGTAGAAAACACGAAAATCGCTTGAAATCCATTTACCGAAGTGATTCCGCGCCAGAACCATGAATACAGAGCGGACAGAAAGTATAGAGAAATATGTCTAGCACCGATGGAAGTAACCATTCAAC